GCGGCGGCCCCGCTGAGCCGGCCAGCTCCGGGCGCCGGGGGCCGGCCGCGCGAGGCGGCCCGGGCCGGGCGGCAGCATGCGGAGCGGCGAGGAGCTGGACGGCTTCGAGGGCGAGGCCTCGAGCACCTCCATGATTTCGGGCGCCAGCAGCCCGTACCAGCCCACCACCGAGCCGGTGAGCCAGCGCCGCGGGCTGGCCGGCCTGCGCTGCGACCCTGACTACCTGCGCGGAGCGCTCGGCTGTCTCAAGGTCGCCCAAGTGGTAGGTGCCGGGCGGGGCCCCAGGTGCGGGCTGGCGGCCTAGCCGGGAGTCTTCCCTCCCCTCTCTCGCTTCGGGGGCTCAGGCCCGGCCGGCCGCCGCCGCGCACCCGCTTCCCGGGGCCAGACCCCAGTTCCTCGCACCCCCTTCTTCCTCGCGGGGTCCTGGGCCGCCCTTCCACCTTCCTTGGGGACCCTGCCCTCTCCAGACTTGCAGCCTCAGGCGTGCGCCTCCTACCTGAACACCTGCCCCCGGGCCTACCTGTCCACTCCCGCCTTCGCTGTCGCGAGCCTTTTTCATTATTGGGCTTGGTGGTCCGCGGAGCCCGGCGCGAAGGTCATGCTGACCCCCGATTAACTACTGATCACAGCAATTTGTGGCAGGTTTTCGGGGCCCGCACAACCTACACCTCCCCTGAAGGCCCTTCTCTGTGTCTGCTTCCACTTCTGGGGACTGTGGCTTGGCTTCCAACTCCGCACCTAGCAGAGTGCCGGGCTTAGGGCAGACGCTCAGTAAATGTTTGTTGAATGGAAGCATGTAGCCTAGATGCAGTGGGGGTGCCCAGATCTAACCCCCAAAGTCTCCAGTTTATACCGCAGAGGTTTGAATCCGCCTACTTAACCTGGAAGACAGAACCAGCATCCCTGAATCCTCCGCCCCAGCACGGTGGCTGGCATTGCCCAATTGGTACCCAGAGTTAAATCATTCGAGGAGGACAGCCAGTTTTGGAGGCAACAGAGACAACTTTCTGTCGGACTTGTCGATAGTAGAGATCATTTCTCAGAATTGTTTTCAGCTTCCAGGGTATACAGGGCAGTGGCCTGGCACCTCTGCCCCTCTTTCATGGTTTTTGTAACAAGCCTCTCTGGGCAGTTGCCTGGCTCTCTTGTGGACAGGGCATGCTCCAAATTCAGAAGAAAACTGTGTCCCAATATTATACCCTGTTACAGGTAGGCCTTCCTCTGAGGCCTGGCAGCAAAACTTTATAGCCTTCTAGCCCCAGAAGCCATTTGCATGGAGCCCCAGTGTATGTACATTTTGTTTCTTCCAAGCATTGGGCTGGTGCTTACTTGAGTCCATAGATAAGCGTCCCTTGGGAGTAATATAAAATGTGGACACCCTTTAAATAAAGGTCTCAGTGTTTGTAAATTGCAGAATCATAGACTATTTTCTCTCTGGTGAAAGGCTTGTTCTGCTGATTGCCAGGGGATATTTTTGAAGGGCTCTAAGGAAAGACAAATGGAATGGGTTATCCCTATCTAGAATTTTAAACTGACCTTATCTGGTAAGCTGGAATGTCCTCAGAGATGTGTTGGTTCTGTTGTTAGGCACTGGTGCTAGCAGAGAGTGGAGGAGGTGGGGGAGGGAGAGGGCTGGTGGTAGTGTCTAACTGCCTTTTAAAAGGCAGCTAGCCAATGTTTGAGTATAGCACAGATAATCAGAAATGAGTAAAAAAGATCACGGTGAACTTGGACCCAGGTGGAAAATAGGGCCTTGTGAAGTACCTTGCTCTGTTTATTCTGTGGACTTTTGAAAGTAAATAGAACTTGCCACTCCAAGGATCTGGTAAAAGAATGAAAATCAGTAGTTGTATAAAATGCTAATTGCCATCTCATTGCCGGAACTTGGTCACCTAAGGCCAGAAATGGAAGCCAGTGGTATTTGTTACTGCCTTGTGGTAAGGTCCTGTTTTGTTGTAGAAGTTTACTTTTCATCTGGAAAAATTTGGGGTCCCAGCCCCTAAAATCTCACCTAACTCTGCCATTTGTCCAACGTGTTGGATTTAAACAGCAAGAGGATGGGTGAGTGAAAAAAGGGACCTGCTTGGAGGTTATAGCAACTTGAAACAGTCTTCCATGTACGTGGCTTCTCAGCCCTGATATAAGTCAGGGTTTTTAGGGGAGAAAAGCCCCCTCAAAGCTCCAGGAAATTGAACTATAGATTTAAACAAGAAGTCATTATGAAGATATTTTTAAGATGTTACAAAGCTCAAAATCCCACTACAAATATGGATGTTACAATTCTTTTTTTTTTTTTTTTTAATCTCACTTATTTTTGAGAGACAGAGCGTGAGAAGGGGAGGGGCAGAGAGAGAGGGAGACACAGAATCCGAAGCAGGTTCCAGGCTCTGAGCTGTCAGCGCACAGCCTGACATGGGGCTCAAACCCACAAACCTCGAGATCATGACCTGAGCTGAAGTCAGACATTTAACCAACTGAGCCACCCAGGCGCCCCTGGATGTTATAATTCTTTTTTTTTTTTTTTTCAACATTTATTTATTTTTGGGACAGAAAGAGACAGAGCATGAACGGGGGAGGGGCAGAGAGAGAGGGAGACACAGAATTGGAAACAGGCTCCAGGCTCTGAGCCATCAGCCCAGAGCCCGACGCGGGGCTCGAACTCACGGAGCGCGAGATCGTGACCTGGCTGAAGTCGGACGCTTAACTGACTGCGCCACCCAGGCGCCCCATGGATGTTATAATTCTTATATTAGAGTTTATATTATGGTTAACTTACTGTTTTTGAGAAAAATTTGACTGTTTTTCATTTTAGTGTTTAATGGACATTTTTTTGTGGTTTGTGGCCTATTGCAACCTGTAGCCATCCTCGCTACTTTGGGTGTGGTCCCCAGAACAGCGGCATTGTCAGCATCAGAGAGCGTGTTAGAAACGCAGAATCAGGGGTGCCTGGAAGCTCAGTCGGTTAAGCGTCCAACTTTTGATTTTGGTTCAGGTCATGATCTATTGGCTTGTGACTTCAAGCCCCACATTCAGCTCTGTGCTGACAGTGCAGAGCCTGCTTGGGATGCTCTCTCTCTCCCTCTCTCTCTAACCCTCCCTCACGCTCTTGCACTTTCTCTCTCTCAAAATAGATAAATAAACTTAAAAAAAAAAAAAGAAAGAAATGCAGAATCGGAGGGCTTACCCTAGACCTTCTGAATCATAATTTGAAGTTTAACAGGATTCCCTCAGTGATTCACGTGCACATTCAAGTTTCAGACTTACCTTTCTATATCATTTTAGTGTTAAAGCCTCACACAGGTGCTAGCAATCAGTTCTCTATCAGAACCATTAATAGTCAACCTCAAGGCTGAGGTTTTTCTGTAAAACGAGCTTGTACCTCCTGAAAGGATTAAGAGAATGAGGTGACATGTAGAATTTAGCGCCTTGTGTGTTAGGAGCTTAGTGTGCAATAAAAGATAGCTATCATTGTTGCCAATTAATATTTCCTGGCTTTCAAGAAACTTGGTGAAATTGTCACCCCCAAATTACAATTATATATTTGAATTAAAGACAGTTTGCTTCCTAGTGATTTAAAAGTTAAGTTGATATTTTATTTTTTTAATTTTTTTTTTATTAAAAAAATTTTTTTTTCAACGTTTTTATTTATTTTTGGGACAGAGAGAGACAGAGCATGAACGGGAGAGGGGCAGAGAGAGTGAGAGAGGGAGACACAGAATCCGAAACAGGCTCCAGGCTCCGAGCCATCAGCCCAGAGCCCGACGCGGGGCTCAAACTCACGGACCGTGAGATCGTGACCTGGCTGAAGTCGGACGCCCAACCGACTGAGCCACCCAGGCGCCCCTAAGTTGATATTTTAAATGGAATGCTTTTGATAGCAAAACTAATCTAAAATATGAAAATTAATCAGTGTATTTCCATAGATTAAATTTTTTAAAATGGAACTTATACCTATCCCTTAGTTGGGGAGAATGTCTCATGTGGTTATATAAAACAATAAAATGTACTTTTTGTGGGAGAAGAGTTGGTTTAAACTCTTGATTTAAATGCTTTCTTCATTCTTGTGAATGTGGATCCTGTGAGTGCTTATTGGTTTTTAGCTCCTAGACATCATTTAATGAAATAGTTCATTTAGGTCTTTTGCTTTTTTCCATCAGCTTGATTGAAAGCAGAGTTTTGCTCTTGGGTTGGTGGAAGAGGGGAGTGGTGGTGGTTGGGGAAGGGCATATTGGCACATACACCATGATCTAGGGCAGTGTAGAAGAGGACCGGTCTTGGATTGGCCAAGACTTTCTGAATAAAAACAACAGCAGGCATCATTTAGTGAGAGCTTACACTCTTGTTGCTACCCCCATTTTATGGATGAGGAAACTGAGGCACACAGGTTGTGACTTCTTCAAGGTCACACGGCTAGTGGGTAGTAGTGCTGGGGTTTGAACCCAAGCAGTCTGATTGGCAGTGTACTCTTTACTGCCTCCTGAACACATCATTTTGAGTGCCACAGAGAGGGCGACTTCGATTCCAAGGACACTTCTCTGGTCTTTGGCTAGCCTGATGATTGATGATTTGGGTGACTCTTAGATACTTAAGTGAGACTTAAAAGGATTTCAGTTTCTCATTGGCCGTTGTGGAGGTGTGCAGCTCCTCTGTGGTAGCCTGCCCCTCACCCAACAGACCTGTCCACTCACCTCAATGAGGAGATGGGGCTTCTCAAAAGTGCCAAGAGGAGATTCAGCATTTCAGTTCTAAAAAGACCTCTCTGGGGGCACCTGGGTGGTATCTAGGAGTTCCTTACACTATTCTTTCTACTTGTGCAAGTGTTAAAAATTTTTCATAATAAAAAGTTACAGAAAAAATGGTTATGTGTTGGGGCACCTGGGTGGCTTAGTGGGTTAAACGTCCAACTTCGGCTTGGGTCATGATCTCACGGTTGGTGAGTTCGAGTCCCATGCTGGGCTCTGTGCTGAAAGCTCAGGAGCCTTCTTCGGATTCTGTGTCTCTCTCTCTCTCCGTCCCTCACCTGCTTGCTTGTTCTGTCTCTGTTTCTCTCTCTCTCTCTCTCAAAAAAAATGAATGAAACATTAAAAAAAAAAAAAAAAAAAAGACCTCCCCAGGAACTCTTTTGCCTCAGATCCTTTTCTTCAGCCCCTCTCATACCTGATTGACCTTCTGACATTGCATTGCCTGTGTTTAGGACTTTTTGTAACAAGTTGGGTGATAGAAGGTGTTTAAATTCAAATTTTATCTCTGCTGAACGTGAAA